TCCTGCTCGATCTAGGCGGTGCTGGCTGCGCCGTCTCGATCATTGAGATGAAAGGGTGCCCGGAGGGTGACGTGGGAGGCCCCTCGATTCGAGAAATGCTGGGGGATGGGGGGCGGCCCGGCCAGCAGCTCGCGGAGTGCGCGCTGGAAGGTCCATCCGGTGCCGGCGCCCACGCCCAGGCGGTGCTGTTCGTCAGCACCTTCCTCAGTGATGTGGCTTCATTTTCCCGGCGCCAACTCCGGGCCGGGAAAAAACTGTGGGTCTGCAGAGATGTGTTCGCTTATTGCCAGGACAGACGGGTTGAAGATGCGGAACCCAAGGACTTAAAGGATTCTTCTTTTCTTTCTTATTCTTATTTTATGTATGTATGTATGTATGTATGTATGTATGCGTAGACTCCTTATTGCCGATGTCCTTTAGTCCAAACCTTTAGGTTTTGCGGAATTATATTTGGCTTTAATTAGGAAAAACCTACCTTGGAGGTTCAAATATCGAACAGTCAGATTTCTGCGGTAGGAGAAGGTTGCTGTGTACTCCATCTTATATGGTGGATTGAACTATTCCAGGGCTTGAGGACATGCCTTCTCAGGTTTGGTGCTGAAAAGTTATAGGAAACATTGCTTCCAGGCCATGCTAAATAGTCGTGCATAATGTCAGCATCTTCCGATGTAGAAAATGTATTTTTTGTTTGCTCGTGAATTTGTTTTTCACTCCATGCAATGAAAGACACTGTATGATTTAGAGGTGATCTAGCAAAGGCCTGGAGTGTACATTGGGGATGGATAGATTGGACTTCAAGGACCTGCTTGGTTGTAGTGTCTTTTCAAGATTTATGATAAGCTTGCCAGTGAGGGGAAATGGGAACTAGTAACATGAAGGTTTAAAAAAAATTGCGCAAAGGTTACACCATTATCATGAAAACTCAGCGTGTGGCACGAGCATTTCAAGAGAAAGTGTGTGTGTGGACGTGTGCGCTCTTTTTATTCTTGTATGATCCAGTTTATAGTCCACGGATAATCAGATATACAGGATGGGTCAAAAGTAGGTTTACTGTTGTTCGTATGGAAAAATAACACAATAATTAATAAAAATATAATAATAAGCTCTGTTCCACAGATTCACAACTGTAAACCTACTTTTGACCCACCCTGCATATCAATATCCTTTTAGGTTGATCCATATGAAATTGCTGATATTTGAAATTTGACTTTTTTACCTACAAAAATAGCAGTTTCATATAGTTCCACTTAATACGTTGTCAAAACTGTGGAGCTCTAGCTTTATAAGTGAATAAAAAGATGTGACTTACAAGCAGGTAGCATATACTAGAATTGAGTGTAGAATCCATGCTTCCTGATTTCCAGTGCAGGAAATTATTTTTTCCCTAGGATACTAGGTTGAATGCTAGATCCTGTTGGAACTAAAAATGGCTGAGAATAAGACACAGTACTACTTAACTTCAAAGAAGCAACATACACAGCAATTAATTTGAGAGCAGTGTAAGCTAGTGTATAATCAAATACTGGAATGTGTAGCACAGGTGGAGTGCTGAGGGGGAGGAAGGAATGAGGATGCCAAAGCATCCTTTTCTGCAGTTGGCCATGGTAGGTGGTTTCGGTAGCATACTGGAGTAGAGCTTGAGGATTCCATTGAATTTAAATTATCCATTCTTTTGAAAAACCTTGTGAAATGTTTGTATCACACTTCAGTCCGAATAAGCAAGGCATACATTGCCTGTTTAACTTGATGTTTAAAGTAAATTTTATTTTTATTGCAGCATGGCATAAATACTGCCTATTGAATTTGCATGAGCCGACCTGTAGCCTGCTGGTGCCACTTGCAACTGCTGATGAAGGTGTAAGATTGGATTCCATGGCATTTAAATGCTTTGCATAATCACAGAGAAATGGGGAGGGTGCTCATGAGAAATGAGTTTACAGTTATGGTTACTTTTGACACACCTTTGTATATTCCATTACTCAGTTTGTATTTCCAAATAGGTCAGGTTCTCTGTGTTTAGGTATGGTTTAAGGGATCATGTGTAATTCTTTTCCTGAATGTTGCAAAGATGACTTTACATCCAGGAAAGAAATGTCACAGAATTGACAGTGCTACCATGAAATCTTTTTGAGGGAAAATATAATGTGCCGAATATATAATTATAGGTTAATAATGCTAAACTGATTTGTGATCAAATTGGGGCCCCTTCTTGCTAGTGGCTTAGATTTTAATTCAACTGAATTAACTTTTTAATAGTGAAGGATATGTTGACTTGATAGGGATTAACCGAAATTGAAGGGTTTTGGGAGAGGAAGTGTTACAAATCATTTTAACCTGGTTTTGACTCCCCTTGATTTTTTAGATTGCTTTGCAGGTGTGTTTTTGTTTTGTTTTTTAATATAAGAAATAAGTTATGTGATAGAAGACCATCATGAAATACTAAGTCTCTTGTGAGACTTTTGGTTGTAATAAAGTAGGGTTCAAATCTAAGATATGATTAATAATCTCCAATACCTTAAGGCCAGGTCCCTGCTAATTTAATAGAAAGTATTTATGTTATTGTTCATTTCCACAATAGAATATAAACTGTAGCCTCATTCTCCACCTCATCTCCCTGTAATATATTCCCTGAATACTCTGCATTCAGCCTTTTGACTGGGGGCTGAGAATGGTGGGGGATTATGTTCAGATCTTAGTGACTTAAAAAAAGTAATCTTTATGTCTGTTTCAAGATGTGTCAATAAAATAGATGCTACTGCAGTTTAAGAATTTATTTTTAATTAAGCAGATATTTGTTGAGCAACTGCTATGTATGAGTACAAGTGCTAAGGATAAAATGAATTAAGACACAGGGGAGAAGGTTGAAAAACATGAATAAACACAGGCAGATGCATGACACATTTATATATCTTAGTGACTGCCAGCTTTTTAAAATGGAGATCCACAGTACAAAATACATGTAATGTTAGAAGCCAGTACATAGTCATGTATGTATAGTTTCATGAAACAGAAAGTTTCGAGTAGTAATGCCTACCCATACTATATTTCTTTCCCAGTGCTATATTTTTTTCTATTTTATTTTATTTTAAAAATGTTTTTTTTTTCTGACTCAAAATTGATTTCTTAATTTAATTGATCCAGTGACTTGTACTTAGAAAACCACATATGGTTTCTATGTAAAGAATATAGAGGAATGCAGTGAGAGATGTTTGCTTTGCTCTCTTTAGATAGATTTGGTCCCTTTATATTAACTAGAGGCCCAGTGCACAAAAATTTGTGCACTTGGGGGCGTCCGTTAGCCCGGCCTGTGCCCTCTTGCAGTCTGGGACCCCTCGGGGGATGTCCACCTGCTGGCTTAGGACTGTTCCCCGGGGGAGTGGGCCTAAGCTGGCAGACAGACATCCCTCTGGCAGCCCGGGAGCCCTCAGGGGATGTCCACTTGCCAGCGGGGAGCAGACCTAAGCTGCAGTCGGACATCCTTAACATTGCTGAGGAGGCGGGAGAGGCTCTCGCCACCACTGCTGTGCTGGCAGCCATCAGCCTGGCTTGTGGCTGAGCAAAGCTCCCCCTGTGAGAGCGCACTGACCACCAGGGGGCATCTCCTGCATTGAGTGCCCCCTGGTGGTCAGTGTGTGTCATAGTGACCAGTCATTCCCAGTTGTTCTGTTGTTAGGGTCAATTGCATATTACCCTTTTATTATATAGGATGCTTTCTTTACCTTAATTTTTTGCCTTTTTATTTTCTGTCTTCAATGAATGAATCATTTTCTTAGTTATCACCATAAATGTGAGATTCATTTGAATTTTTGCTAGTGTCAATCAGCTTACATTTTAAATCTTAATTTTAATGGATTTTTATGAGTAGTCAATATTCTGTATCATAAGCATTAATTTTAGAGTAAGAAGTAAGACTTGCAAGTTCCTATATTAGAGTTCAATGACTGTATTAGTTTTTTGTTTTTTGTTTTTTAAATCACAATATCAAAATTGTTATTATTTAGCCAGCAAACATGGGGAAGTTTAATCATAGTAGTGGTAGATCAAAATTACCTATATGTTCTGTGGGGAATTTTTGAATGCTATAGACACATACTTTGGTCAGCCATCCTCTTCTTTCAGTAATGTAGCATTTTGATTAGCTATAAAAGTTTGGTTTGGGAAAAGACTTTTCTCTGGTAATGACAACATTAGGAAGCTAAACATCATTTGGCTAGTGACATTATGCTATATATTGGATGGAATGTTAAAGTGTAATGGGCCCCTTCCTTTAGGAGCTTTAAACTAAGATCATTTACAGGACACTCAAGGAGTAGATTCTTTGGTATTTTTACCTTTTGCATAACCAGAATGTGGAGAATGAAGAGTGTGCTTATATGCATTTTACATTAGGATAATTAGAAAATTAATATGAATAGTTGTTTCTCACTTTTGTTTTCTGCTTTATTGCTCTCCTTGGCTCAGATAATATCAAGGGCTGAGATATTTATTTGTTTTGACCTTAAATGCCTGAATTCATACAATTATAAGAAATAGCTGTTCTTAAGTTAGTTGCTAGTGAATAATAGAGGATATAAGTGTTGTGAGTAAAGAAATAATAACAGTCATCTTATTTTGGTTTTTATAACTATTTTCCAAAATTATAAGGAGCACTATCAAATAGTGTTATTCAAATGTATAAGATACTGTGCATACAATAGCAGGGTTTATAACATTTTTTTTCCTAAAAATATAGTCAGCTGTATCCTAATTATTCATACTTGATATTCCTTTCAGGATCCAAGTATTCTGTAGCTACAATGTTGTCAAGACTTTTCCGAATGCATGGCCTCTTTGTGGCCTCCCATCCCTGGGAAGTCATAGTGGGAACAGTGACACTGACCATCTGTATGATGTCCATGAACATGTTTACTGGCAACGATAAGATCTGTGGTTGGAATTATGAGTGTCCAAAATTTGAAGAGGTTTGTGAAATTAATTCAATATTGGCTCAAGAAAATTACACTTTCAACTTCTAAAGAGTATCTTATCTTCTTTTAGAGACCATATAATCAAAAAATTGAGTAAAATATTTTAGTATTTATGAACTTAACCTCAAATTTTCATTTACTTATGTAGTATGAAAATGTATTTGACACACTCTTCTTTTGCCTTTCTCTACACAAATGGGTGTAATTGACTCTACTTGAGAAATACAGCTTTTATAACTGACTAACAATGAATGTTTGGCTTAAACAGTGGATTGTTTAAAAATTGGATTTAATTTTGTTTTTTTAATATATTTTATTGATTTTTTACAGAGAGGAAGAGAGAGAGATAGAGAGTTAGAAACATCAATGAGAGAGAAACATCGATCAACCGCCTCCTGCACATCTCCCATTGGGGATGTGCCCGCAACCCAGGTACATGCCCTTGACCGGAATCGAACCTGGGACCCTTCAGTCCGCAGGCCGACGCTCTATCCACTGAGCCAAACCGGTTTCGGTAAAAATTGGATTTAATTTTTTAAAAATATATTTTTATTGATTTCAGAGAAGAAAGGAGAGGGAGAAAGATAGAAACAATGATGAAAGAGAATCATTGATTGGCTGCCTCCTGCATGCCACCTACTTGTGATCCAGCCCACAACCTGGGACCCTTCTGTCCGCAAGCCTACGCTCTATCCTCTGAGCCAAACCAGTTGGGGCAGATTTAATTTTTGATTCGCATATTTAATATTTTTATTTGACTTGTACTGTGCCTATACTTATATTATCATAATATGTAAACGAATGATATTTTATCATAATATGCATACAAAATAAAAATTCTTATTTTTGAGTGCTTATTTTAAAAGCTATAGCTATTGTGATTTTTTTTTTTTTTTGTCTCTCCCAATAGGATGTTTTGAGCAGTGACATTATAATTCTGACAATAACACGATGCATAGCAATCCTGTATATTTACTTCCAGTTTCAGAATTTACGTCAACTTGGATCAAAATATATTTTGGGTAATCATTTCATACATTTAACTTCCTTGTGTGCCATCAGATTTTTTTGCTTGCTGTGGAAATACACCTGGTCAAATCATGTGTATGGAAATGTATGTATTGCTTAATGTGTGCTGCAAGCATTTAATAATTTACTTTCTTTTTATTGGGAGTTAGACTTTCTAGTATTTAAGACCTTAATAATTTGGAGAAAATAATAATTCTTTCAGAATATTGATAAGTCTGTATGTTTTTTTATGTGTGTAATAAAGGATGAAATTTTTCAGTTTGTTCAATTTTGTCATTTTAGGTATTGCTGGCCTCTTCACAATTTTCTCAAGTTTTGTATTCAGTACAGTTGTCATCCATTTCTTAGATAAAGAGTTGACAGGCTTGAAGTAAGTATTTAAAGCATAAATACACTTTTTTCAAAACATTTTTATATTTTTTCAAAATATAGTAAGAACTTAAAGTTGTAATATAAATTTTCAGAAGTTTTAGAAAATACAAGGAAAGTTTTCATGCAATCTTTTAGCTATTTTTAAAACTTGTTAACATTTTGGTATATATCCTTTGCCACTTTTTTAATACTTAAAGAAAACTTCTGAGATCATCTATAATAATAAAAGTGTAATATGCTAATTAGACCAGACAGCCCAACGACCTTCTGGACGAAGCAGGGGCTGCGAGGGCTGAGCCCCTCGCAAGAATTTTATGCATCGGGCCTCTAATCTATATATACTGCTTTATAACTTATGCCTACTAAATCGTTTATCAACATCTTTGCATTTCCTTAATACTAAACTAAATTATTTGTAGTGGCTGTCTAGTATTCCTCTGTATAAATACATTGTAGTTTATTTACTTAACCCTGTATGGCTGGATTGTTAGGTTATTTAATTTTTTTATTAATAAAAACACTGTTGAATGTCTTTGAAGCTAAATTTTTGTTTATATTCATGGTCATTTTCTTAGGATACATTCTTAGGAATGAGATAGTGGCTGTGTAAATTTTAAGTACTTTTGAGTGCTATGTTTTGCAAATTTACTCTCCAATATGGTTGTTTAGTTTATCCTCCCACAAGTCATGATAAATGAAAAGAAAATTATATTCTTCTCCCCCCACCCCCCCCATGCTAAATCAAGGCGACATTGTTTACTAAAGATGCTGTTTGGTATAAAATTAGCAAAAGGTATTTCTGAATAAATATATTTACACTTTTAACAAATGTTTTGAATAACTAAAATGTTTAAGCTTTGTCAAAGGAATATAGGGTATATACTTTTTGTTTTGCAAAAAAAGTACACATAAGATCATACAATGTAAGGGGGGAAAAGTTTTGTTTTAGAAAGAATTTTTTAAGCCATATTTTTCCCTCTGTTAAATGCACCTCATTATCTTGTGTGTTGTTTTTTTTTTTTTTTCCAGTGAAGCTTTGCCCTTTTTCCTACTTCTGATTGACCTTTCCAGAGCAAGTGCACTAGCAAAGTTTGCTCTCAGTTCCAACTCACAGGTAAGTATTATTTATGACACAGATGTTAATAGTATTCCTTTTTTTTTTAGTTTGTTTACATTAATAAGAAGGGTTAATAGAGTTTCTTCATAGTCTAAGATTTAGGAATTGCCTACAATTGTAAGTTCAATTATCAAGTCCTAAGACTGGTCTTCTTAAGTGGCCTAGGAATTTTCCCATTTAGCTAACAACTCAATTATAATTCCATAGCTTCTGGAATTTGGAATCTTCCCCGTTTTCCTTTTTGAAGGTTTCAGAAATTAAAGTTATATTTTGGATTTTTGGATAAGTAAGAGTACGTACCTAATAAAACACAGGATAGGACCATGGAAGAGAGTCTCAGTAGATTTATTTCTAACTCTTTTGAAAACTAGCATTATTTCCCACCTAAAGTTTTCTCTTGGTGTTCATTAGTCACTTTAAAGAACCTAACATTTTAACAATCTTTCATTAGAGTATCTGAGTATAAAATAGCATGTACTAAAAAAAAAAAAAAAAAAAAGCATGTATTTCTGCCTTGATTTTATAATTTGAGGAATAGTTATGATCTTTTGAGCCAAGGATATGATTTAGATTTTATAATACTAACATGGTCTCCAAAATTTTGCAACTAAGAACTTCTGTCAATGGTAGCCAAAATATAAAATGTTGTAAAATTTAATTATATGAGATTTAAATGGCAGGATTAATGCACCACTTCACAGGAATCTTTGCAAGAAATATCTTATTCAGTGGAAAGGGAAAGCAGGGCACTATATATGTTTTTTGTTTGTTTTTAGTCCACTGTACTATTAGTATACTTTGCATTTAGAATGCCTATTGTATCATATTGTATATTTTATTCTTTGCAAATAAGTTAGATTTCAGTGGAAGCCCTAGCATGCTCCCTAACATTTTTTAAGTTGTTTTGGGCCTTACCCTCATTGATGTGTTTGGTCTTTGTTTTAGGATGAAGTAAGGGAAAATATTGCTCGTGGAATGGCAATTTTAGGCCCTACGTTCACCCTTGATGCTCTTGTAGAATGTCTTGTGATTGGAGTTGGTACCATGTCAGGTTTGTAAGCAATTTTTAATATAGTTCAAAGTAAGTTTTTAATAAAGAGGGGAAAAAGAACATCTTAGATTGCATTGGGTTATTATTAAATCCTGACTTTTAAAAGTCTGATAACACTCTTAAAATTTTTGATTGTGTGAGTATGTGGGTATATTTGACCTCTCTGTCTGTTAGTTTTAATATAAACTTAGTAGCAGGTTACTGATTTATTTTTCACTCTTGCCCTCTTTTTCAGTGCACCTTCCTTTCCATGACTTTGTCTGTGGTGCTTTTGTTCTTTGCTTTGTTTGTAAACGAAGGCTTTTCTGGAAAGCACCTTCCAGACCCTGCTGTTGCCTATACTAAATTAGTGACTTGGTTCCTTATGTATTACTGTCATGTAGAGATAGTATAAGAGTCAGGAGTTGTCGGCCCTGGCCAGGTAGCTCAGTTGGTTAGAGCGTCTTCCTGGTATGCCAAGGTGTTATGGGTTTGATCTCCGGTCAGGGTACATGGAAGAAGCAACCAATGAATATATAAACAAGTGGAACAACAAATTGATGTTTCTTTCTCCCTTCATGTCCCTCTAAAATCAATCAAATTAAAAAATATATTTTTTTAAGTTGGGAGTTGGTTAGAGGTTAGATTCTCCTAATAGGATGGTAAGAAGATTTAGTCAGACAGTATGTAGTATATCTAGTTGGAGAGGAGAGAATTAGATGTTAAATATCAAACACAGGACTCTGTTATAAAGGACAAAAATTATGGTCTGGCTTGGAATTTTGCCAGAATGAATATATCGTGCTGTTGTGGAGGTTTTCTAAATCATTGAATAATTTTCTCATGTAGGCCAGATGTAGTTAACTCCTGTTACCGTACATTTTCTAATATCTTAGTGCCCTTAATAAGGGGCTTCATTCTTTCAGAAATAAATGATCTAAGTTGTTGTTTTTTGTTAATCCTCACCTGAGGATTTTTTTCCCATTGCTTTTAAGAGAGGGGAGGGAGGGGAAAAGGGGAGAGAGGAGAGAGAGAGAGAGAAAGGAGAGAGACATTGATGTGAGAGAGACACATCCATCTGTTGCCTCACACACTCCGACCGAAGCTAGGGAGAAACCCAGGTACAAGCACTTGACCAGAAATTGACCCCGTGATCCTTCGGTGTACAGTCTGAGGCTCCAACCATCGTGCCACACCAGCCAGAGCAAATTAAGTTTTTTTTTTTTTTTTAAATATATTTTATTGATTTTTTACAGAGAGGAAGGGAGAGGGATAGAGAGTTAGAAACATCGATGAGAGAGAAGCATCGATCAGCTGCCTCCTGCACACCCCCTACTGGGGATGTGCCTGCAACCAACGTACATGCCCTTGACCAGAATCGAACCTGGGACCCTTCAGCCGGCAGTCCCACGCTCTATCCAGTGAGCCAAACCAGCTAGGGCTAAATTAATTAAGAATAGTTAGTTGTTGTTATTAGTTGAGGTCTCTTTACTAGGTAGTGTATAAAAAATATAATGTTTTGCCGAACCGGTTTGGCTCAATGGATAGAGCGTTGGCCTGCGGACTCAAGGGTCCCAGGTTCGATTCCGGTCAAGGGCATGTACCTTGGTTGTGGGCACATCCCCACTGTGGGGCGTGCAGGAGGCAGCTGATCGATCTCTCTCATCGATGTTATGTTTCCTTTTTTTAGTTTTTTATTTCAAGAAAAACGATCTTAAATATAATGTTACCTGCAATAAACCTTAATATGTCAAGAAAAACGATCTTAAACATAATAATGTTATATGCAATAAACATTAATATCTCAAGAAAAACGATTTTAAATATGATGTTACATGCAATAAACACTAATTATTTAAGAAAAATGATCTTACATATAATATTACATGCAATAAACATCAAAATTTCAAGAATAAAAGGATTTTAAGTATAATAATATTACCAAAACTTTACTAACATAGTATGATATCACAAAAGTTGTAGGAAATATTAAAAATCTGCAAATAACAGGATTCTATTATATTCTAGAATATTTTTTCCCCTTTGGCTCTATTTTTGTTTATCAGTTCATTGTTGTTCATTATATTCCACAAATGAGTGATATTTATCTTTCTCCGTCTGGGTTATTTCGCTTAGCATGATGCTTTTAAAGTCTATTTTGTCAGCTTTTAAAGTCTGTTTTGTCAGATGTATTGCTACTCCAGCTTTCTTTTTTTCTTTTCCATTTGATGGAAAACTTTTTTCCATCCCTTCATCTTCATCCTGTGTGTGTCTGTTGTTTTGAGATGGGTCTCTTGTAGGCAGCATATAGTTGGGTCATGTTTTTGTATCCATCCAGCTACCCTACACCTTTTGATTGGAGCATTTGATCCATTTACATTTAGGGTTATTATTGAGAGATACTTATTTATAGCCATTTTAATTCTGTATGGCTAGGTTTCTCTCTTTGTTTCTTCTCAGCAATCCCTTTAGCATTTCTTGTAATGCTGGCTTGGTCGTGGTGAACTCCTTTAGCCTTTTTTTGTCTAGGAAGCTCTTTATTTGACCGTCTATTTTGAATGATAGCCTTGCTGGATATAGTAATCTTGGTTTCAGATCCTAGCTTTCCTTTACCTTGAGTACTTCATGCCATTCCCTTCTGGCCTGTAGAGTTTCTGATGAGAAATCAGGTGTCAGCCTTATGGGAACTCCTTTGTAGGTAACAGTTTTCTTTTCTCTTGCTGCCTTTAAGAGTCTCTCTTTGTCTTTAATTTTTGGCATTTTAATTATGATGTGTCTGGGCGTGGGCCTGTTTGGGTTCTTCTCTTTTGGGGTTCTCTGTTCCTCCTGAACTTGTGTGACTTTTTCCTTTACCTGGGTAGGGAAGTTTTCTGCCGTTATTTCTTCAAACACCTTCTCTATTCCTTTCTCCCTTTCTGCCTCTTCTGGCACACCTGCTATTCTATTATTGTTACATTTCACATTGTCCCACAGCTCCCTTAAGCTGTCCTACGGTTATTTAATTGTTTTTTTTTTCTTTTTGGTTCTCTAATTAAGTGATATTTTCAACTCTGTCTTCCAACTTTGATCCTCAGCTTCCCCTAATCTGTGTATTCCTTCCAGTGTGTTCTTTATTTGTGCAATGTCATTCTTTATCTCAAACTGTTCTTTTTTCATAGTTACTATATCTTTTTTCATACTGTTGAGCATTTTTAACATTATTACTCTGAACTCTGTTTCAGATAAATTTCTTATCTCTGCTTCATTTATCTCTTCTGGAGAATTCGCTAGTTCTTTCACTTGGAGGTTGTTTCTTTGTTTCCTTATTTTGGTTGTCTGCTTGGGTTTGTGCCTGTTTTAGGTAGATCCTCTATACCTCTCAATCTCTAGTGCAGAACAGTGTTAAAGGCTGTTTCTGACTAATTGGATCAGGCTAAGACTCAAAGCCTTCAGAGACAGCCTCTGTCTACAGATTAATGGGATTTTTAAAAAAATATATTTTATTGATTTTTTACAGAGAGGAAGGGAGAGGGATAGAGAGTCAGAAACATCGATCAGCTGCCTCCTGCACACTCCCCACTAGGGATGTGCCCGCAACCAAGGTACATGCCCTTGACCGGAATCGAACCTGGGACCCTTAAAAGACTCAAAGCCTCCAGAGACCGCCTCTGTCTACAGACTAATAGGATTTGACTTGATTTGCCCCTAGGCAATTGTCCTCAGGTGTGGTGAGAGTTTTTTCCAACCGGGTTGGGGCAGTTGCTTCTGCCTGGAGGCTAATTGTTATTTTAATCTCTTAAGTGGCCTCAAGGCAGATGTCTATGTGGGAAAGGTGTTCTCCGCTGTGTGAGGGAATGACCCAGCCCAGTGTCTGCCTTCTGAGCTCTAACCCGACTCCCCAGTCCTGGGTTCTGCTCTCACAGCTCCAGTCCACTTCACCCTCCCTCTGCCAGAGCACAAGGTGGATGGCTCCACAGGGAATTTTTGTGTGTTGGTCCTTTAGGAGGGTGCCTGAACTTTGTTGCCACTCCCTGGCAGACAGCACCCCACTGCTTTTCACAGCTACATGTTATGTTGGTACCCTCCTCAGTTTGGTGCTTTCTGCTGGGGAGCCCAGCTTCAGGATTAGATCCCGGAGTTCTCAGTGGCACCCCCCACGGCTGAGATATCTCTGTGAGACTTCAGTTGCCATCTGTGGGTGCCCAGCCAGCCCTTTCGCGCCTCCATCCCTCCTAACAGGCTCTATGCAGTCGCCACCTTCGGTCCTTGGGTATCAGGGTTCTCTCCTGTGAGTTTTCCATTGATTATTCAGGAAGCCTTTCCATATTTCAGTTGTAATTCCAGCTTGTTCCTGGGAGCATGTCTGTGTAGCATCCTCCTACTCCGCCGCCATTTTTAATCTTCCTCATTTTATTCTAAAAATACAATGTTTCTTAAAACTTTCTGAAGGGTCAATTTTGTTCAGTTATCTAATCTGTCATTCAACAAATTTTATTTTGCAAAGAGGTTATTTTTAAAAAATGTACCTTCTTTAAAATTTTTTTGGTTAAAGTTCTGAGTTTTTGACAAAAATATAGTCATTTAACCACCACCACAATCAAGAAAAATGTTTTTGATTAGGTGAAAACATACCTTTGATTTTATTCAAGCAAAAGTATATAAAAAGATGAAGAGGATCAGCCAGGAGCTAGTAGTAGGCCATGAAACCAAGGATTAATCATTTGAAACTTATATGGAAAGCAGTGGAAACTAATGTGGCAAGTACGGTTGTGAGTTTTGTCACAATAGGTCAGAGAAGTGGACAAAAGAAGTGATTAGATTTATAGTTGGAGAAGTCAGTCAGGAGACATTTACAGCTATACAAATATGGTATAATAATCAGAGATTTGGCTAAAGGAAAAAAAATAATAATAAGGAAAAGGACAGGTTTAACACATTAATCTGTAGGGTTAGGAAATAACCCTTTAGAAAGCCATTAAAAAGGAAAAAGTCTTTGCTTTCTGGAATATATAGATAAGTGCTCTTTGTATGGTAGCAATGCCTGGAGAACCTATGGCAACAGCAGTAGTTACTGTTGTACAGAGGGAAATAGGAGATCGCCAATATGTAAAAAGCATTGGTTAAGTATAGTTTTCATGGTCTTGGGTTTGGAAAGATTAAATTTGACTGTTATTTAAAACATAGGTTATTCATAATCCTTTTGTTATTGCCATTTTGTATTCTCTTTAATTTCCATATTTGGGAGTAATTGCTATAGATTTTTTTTAAATACAATATATGCTCTTGTTTTATTATTTAGTCATGATTTATTGCAATTCAGAAAATAAAATAAAACTGAGGTTTTTGTATTATATTTGTCGGCAATTTTTGTAGGAAAAGGGAATTTTTAAATTTATATTTTAAAACATTTTTATATTTAAATGAGTGATGTTTTGTATTTGAAAAGTGAGGGAGTAGGGATTTGATTATATAAAATCTTTTCCAGCTCTATAATTTTGTTACCTTCTATTTGAGAAGATTACTAAATAATATCTTAAACATTTTGAGTTACCTTTTGGCATCATATCATTTTTCAAACAGAGCAATAAAATTAACCAAAATTATAAGAACATCAATAGGTACTACAGAGGCTAGATTGAAATGAGAGTTCAGTAGTACACATAAAATACTTACTATGAAAAAAATATATTTATTATGATACTATATCAGGAATCACTTAACTGGCAGCAGCATGTTTTACATTTAAAAAAAGTCTTTGGGCCCTAACCGGTTTGGCTCAGTGGATAGAGCGTCAGCCTTCGGACTGAAGAGTCCCAGGTTCGATTCTGGTCGTGGGCATGTACCTTGGTTGCAGGCACATCCCCAGTAGGAGGTATGTAGGAGGCAGCTGATCGATGTTTCTCTCTCATCGATGTTTTTAACTCTCTATCCTTCTCCCTTCCTCTCTGTAGAAAATCAATAAAATATATTTAAAAAAACAAAAGTCTTTGGTCCACAGGTAAATTGCTTTTATGTTAACAAGTAGAATTGGATCAGTAATATAAAACTGAAGGGTTTGCTCCATTAGATATCCTTATTTCAAAACAGTATTTTTAAAAAGGAGATTTCAACTGTATATTAAATGCTCCCATAATGCCTGGCGTTGTGATTTTGGGGACATGGGAGAAGACAGTTAATTCCTCTGTGCTCTCAGGCCTGGCATCACCTCTGAGTTCCTAATTCTTTTTCCAGTAGATGACAAGGAGATAACATACTAACATTTTCATATATTTGTCTAACTATGGGAAGAGTCCTTGTGATGTATACAGCATCAGAAATGCACATACTTCATTAATTATACATTTAATTTTTCTCTTTCCAGGGGTACGTCAACTTGAAATTATGTGCTGCTTTGGCTGCATGTCAGTTCTTGCCAACTACTTCGTGTTCATGACTTTCTTTCCAGCTTGCGTTTCCTTGGTTTTAGAGGTAACTGCAGTTCTTACTACAACATTAATAGACGAGTAATACTTCTCATTGTATCACTTCATCTAAATAAAATTAATACCTTCTAATGTAACACTGACTTACTTTGTAGCTTTCTCGGGAAAGCCGCGAGGGTCGTCCAATTTGGCAGCTCAGCCATTTTGCCCGAGTTTTAGAAGAAGAAGAAAATAAACCGAATCCTGTTACTCAGAGGGTTAAGATGATCATGGTAATTACATCGCTTTCTTCCTTCACTATCTTCTGTTCCAATGTCATACTCTGCTTTTCAGTTTTATTTTTCTTTTGTCATCCTATAATTTTTGGCTTTCTCTGATTTTCCTCTTCCCTTTTCTTAACTTGTTTCTCAGAGGCTCCTGGTCTTTCTTAGTGTCTCTCCCCTAAACAGATTTTTCAAGTTTCCCCACTTATCTCTCACTGAAAACCTGTTCTTCGGAATGTGTTCAGTAGTTCAGTGAGGCCAATACTTTAGTCATGTAGCAAGCTTGGGGCTTTTCATTCCTGTACGGGGAGGCCAAGAAAGATAGTATATCTTGTTATTCAATTGCTAAGGATGAGAAGCTTAGGTTTTATTGATATATAGAAGATACATAATTTTTTAAAAACTTTATTTCAGTCTCTAGGCTTGGTTCTTGTTCATGCTCACAGTCGCTGGATAGCTGATCCTTCTCCTCAAAACAGTACGGCAGAAAATTCTAAAGTTTCTTTAGGATTGGATGAAAATGTGTCCAAGAGAATTGAACCAAGTGTTTCCCTCTGGCAATTTTATCTCTCTAAGTAAGTTCCCTGAGACCTACTTTGTTGTATATTAATCTTGGTACTCTATGCTTCTGAAAGTTTAGGTTATGCCTTTATATTTTTGAGTAATTTAATTTGCTTTCTTTTATTTAGAATGATCAGCATGGATATTGAACAAGTTATTACCCTAAGTTTAGCTCTCCTTCTGGCTGTCAAGTATATCTTCTTTGAACAAGCAGAGACAGAATCTACACTTTCATTGAAAAACCCCATCACATCTCCTGTAGTGACCCAAAAGAAAGTGCCAGGTGATTGCTGTAGACGTGACCCTATAGTGGTCAGAAATAACCAGAAATGCCATGCAGTGCAGGAGGAGACAAGGATAAACAAAGAAAAAAATGGTAATTTCTTAGTCTCTTCATTTTCTATTCTTAAAATGCTGATTTGTCAAGAAGTTGAGTCAGTTTTAAAACTTAGGTTCGGTGTAGTGAATTTTCTTTTGATCTCTTGAACAGTTGAGGTTATAAAACCCTTACTGGCGGAAACTGACACCTCACACAGAGCTACATTTGTGGTTGGTAATTCCTCCTTGCTCAATACTTCACCGGAACTAAGGACACAGGAACCTGAAATCGAACTTCCTAAGGAGCCTCGGCCTAATGAAGAATGTCTACAGATACTTGGGAATGCAGAGGTGAGGAAAATAAAATAAACTCAAAGCTTGATATTTGCCTTAAGAAAAGGAGTTTTTTTAGTAAAGGAAGGAAGGAAGTTATAGCGACTAAGTACCTACTAAGTTCTAGGCACTCGTTGCATGGTTTGCAGGTATTGATCTTATTTATGCCCCACAGCCTGTGAGATTAGTGGAATTATCCCCATTTTTTTGATGAGCAAGCTGAGGCTCCAGGAGGTTTAAGTATTCCCCAAAGTAATACACCTAGGAAATGGTAAAATTGGGTTCACGGGTTCAAGATTTACTGGCCTAAGAGTCAGCAGTCTTTCTACTTTATTACTGCTGTGACTATTGTATTCTCATATGTGTGGTGAGGCCTAGAAAAGGTTTAACATAGAAATGAGCCTCAAAAATAGAAGAAAACTTTTTGTTTTTAAAGTAAGCTTGTTGCTCATGAGGAAGTTTATTTTCCTTTCTGAGATTTTAACACGGTTCCCACCTACATGATCATATGAGTCCACTCATGCTTTAGTGGGATATTGTGTTCTAGACATACCTGCTTCATCTGGTTCATTAATTTATGTACGAATGAGTGAGAATAGAGTTATGTTTGTTTTCTTTACCACTTTCCTTTCCCATTCCTATTAACATGCATATCAATATCTCAGCTCTCTTCCTGTATTTAGGGTTAGCAAAACCTATAGGGTAAGTGTCAGAATTTTTAAATTATGGATATTTTCCCTGTGGACCTTCCTTGCTAAATTTAGTGTTTTGGTCTTACATTTGTTTAATTGTCACATTTTTATGGAGAATTGTCTTTCATTTTGATAATCCTATTTGTTCCTAAATTATCTTTAGAATTCCATAGTCCTTTAGGTTCTCCTCTTGTGTTAGTTCTATTGAGAGTATTATTTGCATTAAATGGTTTATTTAGTATGAATAATATGAAGTGCAGTTCTTCAGTCTTTTGTCATCACTCTCCCTCAACTCCCTCCTGTTTTTATTTTTTCATTTCTTTAGAAAGGTGCAAAATTCCTTAGTGATGCTGAGATCATCCAGTTAGTCAATGCTAAGCATATCCCAGCTTACAAATTGGAAACTCTGATGGAAAACCATGAACGAGGTGTATCTATTCGCCGACAGTTGCTTTCCAAAAAACTTCCAGAGCCTTCTTCTCTCCAGTATCTACCTTACAGGGACTATAATTACTCCTTGGTATGTTACTTTCTTGATTTGAGAAGGTTTGCTTTGTAACTTTTTAGTTTTATAGCTTTAGTCTTTAGCTTTTTAGTTTTGTTCATATATATATATATATATATATCTTTATTGATTTCAGAGAGGAAGGGAGAGGGAAAGAGAGAAACATCAATGATGAGAGAGAATCATTGGCTGCCTCTTGCAGTCTGCTACTGGGTACCAGGCCCGCAACCCAGGCTTGTGCCCTTGACCAGAATCGAACCTGGAACCCAGCAGTCCACAGACTGACGCTCTATCCACTGGGCCAAACCAGCTAGGGCTAATTTTGTTCTTGACTGGTCTTTTATATTTACATAGTTTTTATAAAATATTTTCCTTTTTTAGTAATTTTACTGTAATTTTGTATTCTGCTTATGATATAGGTCATAGAAATTAAAAATATTCTTCCTGTTTTATAGTCATTACTCAAATATTTTAGTATCTTAAAGACTATTTATTTATTTATTTATTTATTAAATCAGAGCTGAGATTTTCTTTTTAAATATATTTTATTGATTTTTTTACAGAGAGGAAGGGAGAGGGATAGAGAGTTAGAAACATCGATCAGAGAGAAGCATCGATCAGCTGCCTCCTGCACACCTCCCACTGGGGATGTGCCTGCAACCAAGGTGCATGCCCACAACCAGAATCGAACCTGGGACTCTTCAGTCCCCAGGCCGATGCTCTATCCAGTGAGCCAAACTGGCTAGGGCTCTTAAAGACTTTTTAAAGAGTAAATAAAATTTTGTTGAAAATTACACTAAAGGGTTAAGTGAAGAAAGTTATTAATGACAAGAGTGTTATATTTGCAATACAGATTTTCACTAGGTGTCTGACTTTACCTTTTAGGTGATGGGAGCTTGTTGTGAGAATGTTATTGGATATATGCCCATCCCTGTTGGAGTGGCGGGACCCTTGTGCTTGGATGGAAAAGAATTTCAGGTTCCAATGGCAACAACAGAAGGTTGTCTTGTGGCCAGCACTAATAGAGGCTGCAGAGCAATAGGCGTGAGTTGGCATTTATATATTTGCCTGTTTTAGGCTACACTCTAGGCAGGTGATGGGAAGAGATTGGGGACAATAAGGGACACCTTTTGGGATAAGCAGAAGTGTTTTCAGAATTAACATGTGCTTCTGTAACATACTCTGCATAGCTTGGTGGGGGTGCCAGCAGCCGCATCCTTGCAGATGGGATGACGCGTGGCCCAGTGGTGCGTCTGCCCCGTGCTACTGACTCTGCAGAAGTGAAGGCCTGGCTTGAGACACCGGAAGGGTTCACAGTGATGAAGGAAGCATTCGACAGCACCAGCAGGTGTGTGTGTGTGTGTGTGTGTGTGTGTGTGTGTGTGTGCGCGCATTTATGTTCATTTCAGAAGCAGTGCCATCTTCTTTGATCACTAAACGTAATTGTTAGCATATTGCCAGCTTAAAATGATCTAAAATATCTACCTTAAATTCATTCATTCAACATTAATAATATTAATGCTTGGTTTGGGGTAGGGGATCAGAATGTTAATCCTAATGAATACCTCTGTAGAGGTAACTTAGAAAACTATAGTGTGAGCTGGTAAGTTTGTGTGTTGATTTTATAACGCTCACTTCGATCAGACTATTATTTGCCCTACAAGAGCTTTGACTTAGCCTTGCAAGTAGGCAAAATTGCCTGAGAACATGATTTTGGAAGCAGGATAGAAGTAAATATTTGTATAGTAGATTTTCTTTGAATACAGAAAATTAAATTTATAATGAAGCATAAACAGTACAAATGATAACCTTGCTATAGTTCAAGCTTATATGTTTGTTTTTGTTTGGACTTTTAAAGTTTATCTATGATGAAACGATTGTCTATAGCCCTCCCTTCTTGCAGCATATAAGAATGAGAGAGTTGATAGTAGTATTCTAATATAATGTTTAAAGAAGAAAATCCATTAATAAGTAATCTCCATGGGGTTTCTCTTACAAATAAAATGAACCAACAAAACTAGATTTTTAAGATAACTTCCAACTTCTTAAAAAAAAACTTGCTTCTTTTGTTGACAGGTTTGCACGTCTACAGAAACTTCATATGAGTGTGGCTGGGCGTAACCTTTACATTCGTTTCCAGTCCAGGTCAGGTGATGCCATGGGGATGAACATGATTTCAAAGGTGAGCATGGGTCGACTAGAACAGAACTTGCAGGAGTGTCCCAGCAAAGGGGAGCTCAGAGACAGAAGTGGGGCCAGCCTCGCTGTCTATGTAATGCCCTCCTATACTTTGAATATTATACCACATACATGTGCTACTTACTCAAAGAGTTAATTGATTGACAGATTTTTATTGAAAAGTAAATACTGATTCATGTAACTCATTATGTAAATCAGACATTTATTGATTGGTGGTGTTTGTTTGTATTTGATATATTTAATTTAGATTTGGCATTATACACATTCTGGGTCTATTTAGAGGGCATGGGCAGTCTAGGAGTTAGCACTTTAAAACTTTGTCTTATAAACCTTGAAAGTTGACCTCTTCTGGAGACTTTAAGTCTTGTGTTTAAGAGGCCAAGCTCATGTACATAGTCCATTTATTTTAATTATCTCCTATAAGAAGCTTGTGTATGGCTTACATTTTATTCTACTGGTATTTGTTATTTACCAGACACAAATGTAACATGTTAAAGTTAGTTAAGTTAGTAAAATTTATTTTTTGGTTTACTTGTTTGTAAGTACTATTTGGAAAGAGAATGGACAGTGACTAAATGCATACCCTTTAAAAATTGCCAATAAACAGTATACAGAGGTTCCTAAAACAATTAAAAATATAATTACTATGATCTAGCAATTCCACTTCTGGGTATATATTCAAAAGAATTCAAAGGAAGGTCTCAAAGAGATAATTGTACACCCTGGTTTATGGCAGCATTATTCACAATGGCAAAAGGGTTGAAGCAGCCCAAGTCTCCATTGATGGATGAATGCATAAACTAAATGTGGTGTACATATGCAATGGAATCTTATTTACCCTAAGGAGAAAGGAAATTCTGACGTGCTAGGTATGCATGAACTGTGAAGTTCCCTTGCTAATTGAAATGCTCCGGTTACAGAAAATAAGTCTGTATGCTTCCCATGTAGGAGGTAGACTGGTAAATTCATAAAGATGGAAAGTAGGATGGCGATTGCCAAGGGCTGAGGAGAAAGGGGAATGGGAGTTATTTAATGGGTAAGATAAAAAGAGTTCTGGAGATTGGTTGTACAACAATTGGATATACTTAAAACGATTAAACTGTAAACTTGAAATTAGTTACGGTGGTAAATTCTGTGTTATATGTATTTTAGCACAATTAAAAACCATTTTTTTAATTTCCCACAAGTATGTTTTAGGTTATTGAGGTGTGAGTTAACTGCATTAATTTCACTTAATTGGAAATCATTAGAAGTCTTATTTATATTTCATATAATATAAATTCCATCAACTTTCCATTTACAGCAAGATTTAATGTCTGACCTCTCCTTCCAGGTTTAGTAAACTGGGCTTTTAGTAACAATTTAACAACCATAAGAAGGAATTTATTAAACATTGATCATGGGTTGGGTAACTTCCTCCCCAGTGATATGAATATGAGTATTATATTTTCATTGAGTATTTTTTAATATTCTCATCTACATTCTAATTATCAGTCACTACAAAGAAGTTTGTTTTCATACCTAGAAAGAACCATTAGGAATCTATAGCTGATTGAGAAATTACTTTTGTGCTCAGTTTCTTTATAGTTATTGTATTAGAAGTTAAGATTATTATAGTTACTGTACTTAGTATTAGTACCAGATACAAATAAAGCCTCTGATCTGTAAGTAACTGTGCACTTTAATGTAATATTTCTTTGTTTGTTTGTTTTGTTATTGTTAATAGGGTACAGAGAAAGCACTTTCGAAACTCCATGAGTATTTCCCTGAAATGCAGGTCCTGGCAGTTAGTGGTAACTATTGTACTGACAAGAAACCTGCTGCTATAAACTGGATAGAGGGGAGAGGAAAGTCTGTTGTTTGTGAAGCTGTCATTCCAGCCAAGGTTGTCAGAGAAGTGAGTGATTGGATAAATGTTCTATTAGTTTTATATAAAAATTGGAGAAAGGAATGGTAACATTCTAAGTTTAATATATGGGGGTACGTTTTCATTAAAGATGACTGTTTTATCATATCTTGCCCATCTGTCCATGGCATTCACAGGAGCTGTTACTCTTTTTATTGAGAACAGGGCTTGAATGGGGCCCCATCTAAACTTCCTTGTTTTCTGGAGGCACAGAAAGATAGATATGGGGGACACACCCCTGAATCTTCTGGGGGAGATGTAAAATGTGCACAACTCTGTTTTCTAGGTGTTAAAGACTACTACGGAAGCTATGATTGACGTCAATATTAATAAGAATCTGGTGGGCTCCGCCATGGCCGGGAGCATCGGAGGGTACAATGCCCATGCGGCCAACATTGTCACTGCCATCTACATTGCCTGTGGGCAGGTGAGGGCTCCAGCCGCCACTGCTTTTCTCTTTTGTTCTCAGTGAGAGAAGTTTATATTTTTCCTTTTTCCCCCCCCCCAGGATGCAGCACAGAATGTTGGTAGTTCAAACTGCATTACTTTAATGGAAGCAAGTGGTCCCACAAATGAAGATTTGTATATCAGTTGTACCATGCCATCTATAGAAATAGGAACTGTGGGTGGTGGGACCAATCTGCTCCCACAGCAAGCCTGTTTGCAGGTATGAAGTGACCTCAAGTCTAATTCTCACTGAGATTCTGTGTTTCTACCTGACACTGCATATGACTCACCTCTATACTTTAGTTGGTCTTTTCATTCTTTTGTTTTCCAGCAGCCTAGTCCAAGTACGTATATGTTCAGGCATATGCTTAAATAGAGAAAGTAGATTAAGAGGCAAATAAATGTTCATGTACTCTGAGTAAGTACACTGCCAGCCAGGCCGTGGATGTATGTTAACTATGGTGTATACATTGTAAATCTTGGAAGTTTAGTGGAGTCTAGTTCGATTCTGCTGCCATTGTAGTTGCCCTTATTTAGTTGATTGAGTAGGAAATTGTTGCCATGACTTGAAGGGTGAGTCCTGCTGTTTCTCTCTCTCTGACTGCAGATGCTAGGTGTTCAAGGAGCATGCAAAGACAATCCCGGGGAAAATGCCCGGCAGCTTGCCAGAATCGTGTGTGGTACAGTAATGGCTGGGGAATTATCACTGATGGCAGCATTGGCAGCAGGACATCTTGTCAAAAGTCACATGATTCACAACAGGTAAGACTTAAAGATTTATTTAACATGTTTTCCTTGTACTCAAAATATGCATTAGAAAAACCTGGTATTCAGCCATGGCTAGTTAGTTGGAACATCATTAGTGGCTCAGTTAGTTGGAGCATCGTCCTGTGCACTGAAGGGTCATGGGTTCAATTCCTGGTCAGGGCACATTCCCAAATGTGGGTTCAATCCCTGGTCAGGAGGCAACCGATCGATGTTTCTCTCTTTCTTTCCCTCTCCCCTCCCCTCTCTCTAAAATCAATAAACATATTCTCAGATGAGGATTTAAAAATAAATAAATAAATAATGAAAACCTAGTACTCAGCTACAATATTTCTAACTTAAAATTCTGCATTCTTGATATTTTGTATATCTCTTTGTCTTTTTTCCCATAGGTCAAAGATAAATTTACAGGACCTCCAAGGAACTTGCACCAAGCAGGCCGCTTGAATAAATAGCCTGACGGTTCTGAACTGAAATACGGGTGTTGGGTTCTAATGGACTAACATAAAATCTGTGAATTAAAAAGCTCAATGCAGTGTCTTGTTGAGGATGAATAGATGTGATCGGTGAGACGGCTGCTTGGTGTTTGGCTCTTTCAGAAAGGTCTGAGGTCCTTCCCATGCAGCTTCCTCAGCTCTGAAGACAGCTTAGTGCTTTCCATGCTGTGTTCTTTGGAAAGATCTCTACATGGATATTATGCTTGAAAGCGTCACAGATGGTCATCAGCAGCTCACTTCTGAAAGAGAGCACACGCTGGAAAAAAGTGTTTTCTTTTGATGAAATTCATGGAGTTCATGGTGTGAGATTGGCCCTTCCCCCCCAAAACCCCCCACCACCAAGGGTTGAAAATGGGTTTTTAAATTACACTGTAGCTGACAAAACTGATTTCATAGTTAATTTATTAAGCCTGGGTTGTAGAACTTTAAGAAATAAGAGCTAAGTTTATTTTTTGTAAACTAATACTTCATTTGGTGCTGGTCTATTTTGATTTCTTTTGGGGTAGCCAACATGATTCTTCAGAAGATGACCTGCTTTCTTCAAGGGAATATTACTCTTATTCCCCAACTACAGAATCATGTGCTAAGCAGTGCTAAATAGTTCTCAATCAAGAAAACAAATCACTGCATTTATACCTCTGCAGGCTATTTGCTCAGAGAGATCTCTTGTCGAAATGTAAATGTTTGTCTAGATTGGCTATAACATATCTTTGAACATAAGGCTTTAAGAAACAGAATTTTGTGCTCTTTATTAAAGATACCAGAGCTCTTAATTTTGCTTAGACTAGTGATTTTCAACCTTTTTCATTTCATGGCACACATAAACTAATTGCTAAAATTCAATGACACACCAAAAAATACTTCTCTTGCAGATCTGACCCAAAAAAAGGTATAATTATGATTTGTTCACATGAGACGGCTGTTATTGTATTGGCTATTGTCAATATTTTATTTGGCAATCTAAGGGAAAAGAGGTCAGTGCCCCTGACTAAATAGTCCGGTACTGCATGTTTTAAAAATTCTTGTAGCACACCAGTTAAAAATCGCTGGCTTAGATAAAGATGACTCTGTTTAACAACATACAACTCTGTGACCCCTCTCAAAACTCAGAGAGTGGAAAATAAGTTTGAAAGAAAAATACGATTTCATTCATCAACTTTAATTTCTTAAAAGAAAAATTTATTTAGCTGAAAATCTAGTTTCTTGTAAAGAATTGTATAAAATCTCCATATGTTGTAATAGAACCTCATGCTAGGAATTTATTGAAAGTGTTCAATAAATAAATAAAAATCAACTTGTATACTGATAAAACACTCTAAGCTTAGGCCAGAGACAATAGTGTTCTTTAATGTTGCCAGGAAACCCTGGCATGCTTGTGGAGCCTAATGCAAGGGGAAGTCAGGTTTCAGAGCCAGTGAAGGGAAGGTGCCGTGTGAATGGCCCTGGAAAGTGCTGTGTTCCTGTGGCCAGGAGGTTGGTGACTTCATCCAGGGCTCTTGGATGGACCCATAAAAGCTCTTAGCTTTCTCAGGGGGTCAGCAGAGCTGTGGGATCTTCATTTTTTTAATGTACAAGTTTTGTATAAGTAATAAAGAACTCTTTATTTTGTATTACACCTAATGCTTCAAGTGTTGGTCTTGGAGAGCTGATGGCTTGTGTAGAAGATGGACTCTGAGAAACATTCCAGCAATGCCGTGGCAACACGGAGAGCCTCTGAATGATTGTGTCTGCAGTGTTGTGGAAGTTGTCTGTAAACTTGAAATTGCTTCTGACCTTTTCATAGACGTGGCAGTGAAAAATACGTTGCGTCTTCATTTTGGTGACTATAACCAATATTGTCTTGCTAAATTAATGTTTTGTACAATTACTACATTGTATACATTTTGTTATACTTTTTTCCAGTTCCAGTAAATTATGAAAAGGAAGTTAATACTGTGTAAGCAGTAACCTTTTTTGTTTGGATTAACCCTCAGCCTGAGGCCTGGAAGCTTGTAAAGTCTGGCCAGGGTGGTAACCTATTTCACGCTAGGTGTCATGACCATTCATTGTTCTCCATTGTATTCTCCAACTCTGCAGCGTTAATGGCGGGCTGCTGTTGCATGTATATTAAAATTATCTTCCTTATACTTAGAGAATTGGATTAGTTGAGATTTATCATTTCAACTCAACCACTTTTGGATATTGGGGTGTGAGGGTTAGTTGAGAGGAAGAGGGCATAAAGATTGGGCAGCCAAAACCAAATAGCCATTGCAGGTGTGCTTTTAAGCTGTTATCAGCTGAATTGGAGAGTATAGCGTTGGCCTCTTTAAAAACTGATTCCCATTTATTTTCAATTGACTACACTTCTGCTGTAGTTAAGAGGTTAAAAGTATGTGTGAGCCTCTAAGAACAAAAAAGCCCATATAATAGAGAATCAGTTTGAATTTTTCTTCCCAGATGACATGTGATCACTTGTAGAGCCAGTCCCCCCCTCTACTCCCCAATTCCCCTCCCAGATTGGAGCAAGTTAGATAGGCAACAGTGAAGGATTTTCATCCCCTTTCTGTGGGGGTGATTTCATGAGCAGTGATTGCATGTGGCAGGACAGGACTTTTTCTCATCTTAGGAAAGGATAGAGAAATCAAAAGGAAACATTCACACTGTTCAAAGGTCTGAACTCAAATGAGGATGCAGAGCTGCAAAACAGCAATACAAATCCACTGTATAGAAGGTGAAACAAGCAGTAAATTAGCTACAGAAAACATTTTTCAAGACCAATGCTTCCCTAACTATTCTGGCCAAGACTAATTTATTAATAAACTTTCCACAGCAAAGATAATGGATAACCTGTACAGTGAAAACCAGATGTTATGTTGTAACATTCCTATTTCCCCCCCACTGTAATGGAACATGCTTCCCACACTCCCATTAGTTTTCTTGTCCTCCTGAACAAATGTAAGAGCAGCTGAGGGAGGTATGGGCTCTCTTGCATCGGGTAACAGTTGCCTCGCTTGTGCTAACAGCTGCAGTTAGGAGGTAGAACACAGAAGAGTACGTTAACTCGGTGCTTCTCCAACTTGAGTATGCAACACACTCATTGGGAAGACCTGTCAAAACAAATTGCTGCCCTAACCGGTTTGGCTCAGTGGCTAGCCTGTCGGCCTGCGGACTGAAGGGTCCCAGGTTCGATTCTGGTCAAGGGCATGTACCTTGGTTGCAGGCACATCCCCGGTAGGGGGTGTGCAGGAGTCAGCTGATCGATGTTTCTCTCTGATCAATGTTTCTAACTTTCTATCTCTCTCCTTTCCCCTCTGTAAAAAAATCAATAAAATATTTTTTTTAAAAAACACAAAACAAACAAAAAAAACAAATTGCTGAGTTATCCCCAGGGTTTCTGATTCTCTGGGTCTGGGTGGGGCCAGGACTTGGACAGTTCTATTGATGCTGCTTCTGCGCTAACAGTTCTGGGTTTCAGTATGAGGTACCTGGTATTACTGAGTGAACAGTATTAGAAAATCATGTTCATTCAGAAGCACACAGTTGGAAACCTCTGTGGAAAGATCAAGTGTTGGTTAATAAGAATTAGAATTGCCCTAACCAGTTTGGCTCAGTGGATGGAGCGTCAGCCTGCGGACTGAAGGGTCCCAGGTTCGATTCCGGTCAAGGGCATGTACCTTGGTTGTGGGCACATCCCCAATGGGGAGTGTGCGGGAGGCAGCTGATCGATGTTTCTCTCTCATCGAAGTTTCTGACTTTCTATCCTCCCTTCCTCCTGTAAAAAAAACACACAATAAAATATATTTTTTTTATAAAAAGAATTAGAGCCCTAACTGGTTTGGCTCAGTGGATAGAGCATCGGCCTGCGGACTGAAGTCCCACGTTCCATTCTGGCCAAGGGCATGTACCTTGGTTGCAGGCACATCCCCAGTAGGAGGTGTGCAGGAGGCAGCTGATCGATGTTTCTAACTCTATCCCTCTCCCTTCCGCTCTGTGAAAAATCAATAAAATATATTTTTAAAAAATAAAAAAAGAATTAGAATCCCTAGAGCAGCGGTTCTCAACCTGTGGGTTACGACCATCGGAAAACACAAATAGCATATCAGATATTTACATTACGATTCATAACAGTAGCAAAATTACAGTTATGAAGTAGCAACGAAAATTATTTTATGGTTGGGTGTCACCACAACACGAGGAACTGTATTACAGGGTCGCGACATTAGAAAGGTTGAGGGCCTAGAGAGATACAGTAACTGACCAACTAGAAAGTATATTTGGATTTGGTGTTACCCTGCCCTCCACCTATGACCATCCCTCCCTCTCAAACAACACTAAAGGTCTGCATATCTTTAATGAATGGAATGACTGCCCCAGACAGACATCTACCCTGTGTTGATTATTAAATTCCTTGCTTTCCTATCACTTGAAATTTGAAAAGGTAATCAGGACTTAGTGAATAGGGTAGGGGTAGGGGTAGGGAGTGGTTGAGGGAGCAATTCTGTTTCCACTCTAAAATCACCTGGGATTGTATGTTGAAAGTGTTGGACACCATAAAGCAAATGCAGAGGCTTGTTAGTCCTAAACAATGTGTTATGGATGAACCTACTCCAAGCTAACTCCCAGCTGAAGATCACACAGGAGCCTCTACCTCTCTGACCATTTCATTGTTTGGACTTGGGCTGTAGCCTCAAAGGGCTAATGAAAACAAGTTTTGGTGCACTTCCTGCCTCTCTCCTGATATATCAAGTATACCTTGCGAGAACCCGACCTCATTTTTAAACTTATATTGCTCTTCTTAGTAGCAAAATACACTCATCTCTGGCCATGGCACCTTCAACAGACATGGATGCTCTCACACTGCACAACCCTTGGGAAGTAGTCAAGGCTTACTACACTTGGCTTGTACACTTGGTGTAGCCTGGATAATTGCAAAACTCTTGAGGAAAGGGCCTACCGAGGCCAGAATCCAAATATTTTTTCTTTTTAAAAATATATTTTTATTTCAGACAGGAAGGGAGAGGAAGAGAGAATCAATGATCGGCTGCCTCCTGCACACCCCCTACTGGGGATCAAGCCCACTACCCAGGCATGTGCTCTTGACCAGAATTGGCCCCGGGACCCTTCAGTCCGCAGGCCAATGCTCTATCCACTGAGCCAAACTGGTTAGGGCCAGAATCCAAATCTTGAACACCCCATCAGAAAAAAACTTTCAGAAACACCTCTAATAAATGTGTTTCTTTTTTTTTTTTTTTTTTTAAGGGCTGATGGCGATTATGGTATGTTCAAGCCTTTACAAACAGCCTTTATTTTATTTTATTAAACATATATTTTATCGATTTTTTACAGAGAGGAAGGGAGAGGGATAGAGAGTTAGAAACATCGATGAGAGAGAAGCATCGATCAGCTGCCTCCTGCACACTCCCCACTGGGGACGTGCCCGCAACCAAGGCACATGCCCTTGACCGGAATCGAACCTGGGACCTTTCAGTCCGCAGGCCGACGCTTTATCCACTGAGCCAAACCGGTTAGGGCATAAATGTATTTCTTGATAGATTATGTTGACATGTATATTATCCAACAAAATCAAAATATATAAATAAAAGTTGAAGATTTTTCTGTACTCCAGTGGTAAATCTTGCCCCCATTTTCCTCCAGACTGAGGCCTCTTCAAGACAGGGACAATGTCTTGTTACTTTAGTATAGCACCTTAAAGTTAAAGGTACTTGATGTTGAATACATTAATATAATTAGGACTTATTCCAACATAAAAATAAGTCATTTACAGTGTTGAGGGAGCTGGAAGTCTTAGAGAGCTCCATTTCAGTCGTGCCTGTCACTACTAACTGTGAGACCTTAAATTATTCACTTCACGGTTCTGTTTCCTTATTTGTAAGAGACAGTTGTCCTTATCTTACTCTACACACACTATAAAATGTTATATTCTCTCATATGTGTACAGCATTTTATTAGCCGAAGGTGAAATATGAGGCATTTTTCTCGTGGCTGTGATAAGGATCTCATGTATAGTTTAGGAAACAGCCTATGCCTTCCACAGAGCATCCTCGGGGTTCTGGGCAGAATTGCTTAGCCATTTGCCTCTTTTTATCATGTCTCCTCAGGAACTGCAAAGCTAACTAGTTAACTCTTTGCAGCCCAGACCCTGTGGGCTGTCACAGCATTTGCTTTACAATTCCTTGCACGTTTGCCACAATCCCTGGCTGGGAGATTCAGATCTTTTTATAAAGCCTAAATCCTAGGGGAAAAGATAAAGGTGTCCCTCTTCCTGGATCTCATCCTTTTGAATTTAACATACTGTTCTTAGCTCACCCTCCTCCATTTATTCCTCCTGTTGTCAAATATGTACCTTCTCACTGAAATAAAAATCTCTGCCCCTTTCAGTCCCATTTGCTTTTCACAACCTATCCATTTTTTTTTAAAGTGAGGGTTTGCTTTTTTAATATATAGTTGACATACAATGTATTAGTTTGCGGTGTACAACAAACTATCAATTTCCCCCCCACTAATTTGCTGCCTCAAATATACATTCCATTGAAACTGCTAGTTGGGCTGATAAGCTTATTATTACAGCTGCTAGATTAGTACAACAAGCAATATTATAGTACATTACTTTGGCCTCTTATCCGCAGTTTCATGTTCAGTGGTTTGTTGCCTGCAGTTCAAAAGTATTAAATGGAAAATTCCAGAAATAAACAATTTAGTAGTGTGATGAAATCTCATGCCATCCTGTTTTCTTCCACCTGGGACATGAATCATCCGTTTGCCCAGTGTATCCTCGTTGTATGTTACCTGCCCGTTAGTCACTGGATGGCTGCCTAGATTATCAGACCACATTCACATAACTTTTATCTATATATATAAAAGTGTAAGCAACCGTCCGACCTGTAGTTATGATGTGCACTGACCACCAGGGGCAGATGCTCAACGCAGGAGCGGAAACCACAGGCATGTAAACATGGAACAGACTGATGAATCTCAGAGGGGATGGGGGAGGTTGGGAAGAGGTTAACCAAAGATCTTATATGCATACTAGAGGTCCAATGCATGAATTCATGCAAGAGTAGGCCAGCCCCCACAGCCCTGGCTTCATCTGGAAGGTGGTCCAGATGGTAGATCTGCTGTCCAGCTGTTTGATTTGCATATTACATTTTTATTATTATAGAGGCCTGGTGCACAGATTCGTGCACCGGTGGGGTCCCTTGGCCTGGCCTGTGCCCTCTCGCAATCCAGGATCCCTCGGGGGATGTTGGAGAGCCGGTTTTGGCCCAATCCCTGCAGGCCAGGCCGAGGGACCCCACCAATGCACGAATCCATGCACCTGGCCTCTAGTATTTTATAAACATGGTAGTAACTACTAAGCAGCTACAGTTTGAGATGCTATCACTTCCATTTCTCAAGTTAAAAACTCCTGATTTCCCCTCCTCATTTCTATCATTAGCATGGGAATTATTTACAAGTAAAAACAATGGTAACAGTTGATTTATCCCACATCCAAACAAAACCGGGCACCAAGTCCCACTGATTTTTCTCAGATGTGTAAAAGAAAAATGTTCAAAAAAGCCCTCAGGGACTCCCATTGCTGGCAGAACAAAAATCAACTACTTTGCATAGCCTGCAATGTTTCTCCCCAGAGAACGTCTGTCTCCTAGTTTTCTCCCTTGCTGCAGTCCTGTAAACTAACCCTGACAAGCCAAGGGACTTGAAGCTTAAAGCCCGAAGTATTTGCCACCTTCTTATCATTATTCCTGTCTTACTCATTCTCATGTATCTAGCACTCAATAAATGAGAAATGACTTATTATGGCTAAATTCATGTAGTTAAATATGTGTGGATTGGCACTGTAGTTTCATTTTAGAAATTTCCAACTATATATGCTTCCACTGTCTAGCAATTAAAAAAAATTTTTGGACTATGACACATAGTAAAAAATTCATTTTAAATTGTAACCCACTATACACACATATTTGTACATATGAAAAAATATTCACAAAGTATTTACCTTTATTACATTCTATGTACTTGATTATTCCATTCTGTTTTAAGAAAATAATTGGACCATAACTCACTAACAGTTTTCTTGATACCTAGCTGGGCTACAACCTAGTTTGAAGAACAATAAACTGGAGTATTTCAAGCTCTTAACTACTCAGAGAATTATGAAGGACAGTATCGTGGGGTGAAGAAAAACAATCAAACAAGCACATTTGTCCATAATATTTTAATACTTTTCCACTTTTAAATACTGGTTTTAATTTTGCGATTGTAACATGGAAGATCCAACTTTATTATTATTATTTTTTTTAAAAAAACATCATCAGGATCATAAAGCTATTATAGAATAGTTACACTCTATACACTCCCAAGGTACTTTAAAATGATTATGTTTTGAGTTTGTAGATGAACAATAACGATAATCCACATACATTGTCTGTATAACTTGGACTAAATACTGGAGAAAATGTTTAATTGGACAAACAACTGATAAGTTTAAAGATAACCAGCACAATTTCACGAGAACCAGCTCAGCCCTACTAAAAACTTCTCAAAGCAATCGACACTGATGTTGTATAGGTGTACAAATTAGTTGATGAAACTGAACAAATGGGAAACCTATTCCTCCTTTGCCTTATTTTGTATTCTTACACCTCTCCCAGTCAACCTCCTCCTAGGTCTGGCTGCCCCTGTGGCGATCCCAAACCAAGAGCTGCTATGATCACCCTCCACCTCAAAACCACGAGTCCTGAATTCTAACTGAAACACTGTGCTTTCTCTTGAACTGTAGAGTGGGCACTCAGGGAACAAAATCCCTTATCACCAATATTTTTAAAGTTTCTATCATAGTACAAAAAGAGTAACTGAGTAGAAAAAAGAGTAAAAAGATAATTTTTTTTGGTTTGGGGAAGAGAAGTAGAAAATAACTATGGATGAGAAAACATCATGTATATTCAGAGTATGTAGGAATTAGCCACACGGAATTCTAGAGGGTCTGAAAATTGTCTAAAGGGCTAGTACCTATCCAAATTATAACCTGTTTTAAATTCTTTTCATACTCTCCTACTCATTTCTAAATCTGGTTGGACAGGATTAACTCTAGTAAAGTACCAGTGCAGTTATCTAAAGGTAAAATGTATCTTTTTCTTTTCCTTTTTAATACAAATATTTTAGAGTAATCATTTTATTTACAGAATTGCAAAAGTATATCATTAACATTTAGTGCAAATGCAACTAATGATAATTAGATTTAGATACTGCTTTGTAAACTTTCCATACCTTTGTAAAACAAAGCTATTTAATTTAGTTACGAAAGAGTTACTTGTCTGTGTTCATGATAGTTACCAGAAAAAAAATGGCAAACAGAGAAACATTTATAGTGGGCATACAGAACTTTTTTTGAAGATTCCATCAGCATCTATGGTGAATATACCTTCCCTCCCCAACCCTCCCATACTCCCACACCCTGACCCACAGCTGATTGTAAAATAAAATACACATTTGAGGTATAAACTTTTCTTTTTTAAACATCACAATATAAAATGTTAACTGGTGATGTAGTAAACTGATAGAATTTGTCTTATTTGCCTTACTAGCATTACCACCATAGGCACTTTTCCACGTAGTCAAATTATGAACAGCATTTTTCTATAATAAGGCATATTCCATGCACATAATTTAGAGAAAAGTAAATTAAAAAATAGAAAAGATTTATGGAGCATGAAATCTGCGTGCATGTAATGTAAGCATATGTTTTATATGTATTTCCTCTCTGTACAGAATAATAAATACCACTATATTTGATGCAAGTAATTCACCTCCAGGATTGTGCATATGAAGTGACCAGACTAATCCCATCATTAAATTATCACCTTGCATTTATCATTAAGACTCCAATACCACATATGAAATATATACAAGACATGTTCCACGTGACATGACTTTCTGCTTTACAAAATGGGTTGGATTTCTGTGTTTCTACAGAGATGAGTAAGTCAGCAAAGCATCTACAAAATGCCTCTGATTTATGCAAGCACGTTTGTGTAGAAACATAATGAAGATTTTGAAGTGGGCAGTCATTTCTACTTCGATGAGTATAATTCCTTGCCTCAACTTCATGCTTCACGGTTTTTCACAAAGGCCTAAAACTAATAAAACTAAAAAAGGATTTTACATTTAAGTTCTTATAGCCACTAAGGAAAGAATCTCAGTCTGAATCACATGGAATATGTTAAAGCTCTGCTGAAGTTTCTGATCAAAAGGCAAACAGAAGCACTGCTCACATTTCTATGCGTATCTTGCAATATATCTTTTAAACTAACCCAAATTAGAAAAACTAAAAAACATACCGGTTACTGAGTCCTAAAAATATTGAATCAAATGTCAAACTCAGTCTGATTCGCTTTCACAAGTAATAACTGCATATCCTTACAAATTTCATTAAAAATTCTGAGTTCATTTTATCCTGACCATTTTCCCAGAAAGCAGTTTATACCCACAAGATTTATACAGATGTTTCTGTTCAAAGGCAGGCAGAACCAATTTAGAAACTGCCAAATTCTGTTTCTAACAAACTGAAAAAAAAAAAAAAAGCTATAGTGTACAGAACACAACTAAAAATACAGGAACTATAAAGATAACTGGGGTTGTAGGAGGGGGGAGAGGAATAAAGCTTTTCATTCTTTCTCCATCAGAACAAAGGTTCTTCACGGGAGTAAGAATATAGAAAAGGCAAAATCACAGGTTATTAACAGCCCTCAGTTATTAAGAGACACTTTACATTACTACATGAATCAGTACAGAAATCAGCAGCAATGAATTCTATGATTATACAAGCAAAAAAAAAGGTTGAAAAATTCTAGACACAGACTGAACTGCAGGCCTGAAAAAAGAGCCCCGTCCAGGTATTTGGTGCACAGAAAGCACATGCCCCATGAGCATTCCACTTTCGTGCTTTTCTTTTGTGCACAAAACCTGATACAACAGAGGATCTTAGGCTGGACCATATACTAAATTAAAAATTCTGAAAAAGTTTCCAAAAATTAAAGCATCAATTCCTAGTTGTGATTCAAAGTTGATTTTTCTCTCTTTTAGGAGCAAGCAAATAAAAATATAGCCATGTACATGTATTTTTACATGTATTTATAATTATAGCTGAGCATGGAGGTCTAGCGGTAGACAGCTAGGGTTAGACGTTCAGCTTTGCTATTGCAACATTTCTTCATTTTTGTACACAAAGTCAAGGTGTTGGGCCATAGACAAGGCTGTAGATCCTACGTTCCAGCTTAGAGCGTTCAATTTGTGTGTGTGTGTGGTTTTTTTTAAGTTTTCCCTCCAACATGGAATGTCACACAGCCTTGTTTCAGTCACTGTAGGAAAGAAAATGACAAGTTAAAAATTCAGCAATATATTGCTAACAACGGCAAGACTACCAGAATAGATTCCCCCTACCCTCTGAATTCATGGAATGCATAGATTCTCTCTTAAAATTTATCTTTAAAGGATTTTCAACTTTAAGAATATAAAACTGTTCATCAGAAGGAACAGAAGGTATAAGGAATCTCTGAAAGCTAGAAATGTAAAAGGGTAATGTACTTACTACAGGTAAACAAAGAGGGAATCAATCAAAGGTCTCTGGATTTGTACCCCACAAACTGGCATTTCCTTCTTAGTATTCAATAAAAATTATGCTATGTAATTTTTCAAGAATTTTAAAAATTTACTTAGGCTATGAAAAGACTTAAAAAACAAACAGGCACAGACATCATCAAATGTGTTTAAGAAATCTGACTACGAGTTTTGAAAATCTTTGGACCTTATTAACTTTATGGAATTTCTCTAAAGACGATGCTGATTAATGACAGTTATTTCTCCATCACCGAAGTTAAGCATGTTAGTTTTCTTAAGGTTACAGTGCTAGAATCCACTTCATAGAGACATCTTCGTTATTATGAAACAAACATTACTTTAGGTGAACAAAGATTTTTACCACATGTTAAGGTTAGAATTTAGGTTGTCAGAAAGAAGCTCAATCTGGATTCAAGGCCAGTGCTAATTGTTGGCCAGTGAGTCTTTTTTTTTTATTTCTATCTTTACATACATACAGAAAGGTCCACAAACAATGCTACCTCCTCCCCCTTGAATTTTTTCCCCAAGGGATTTCAACCACTTCCCTCCTAGGTCCACTAAAGAAGAATGAGGACACCGCCCCCCCTTCCCGCCACACACAGTCAGTCAATAAAACAATGCTCCAAATCAAACAGTTTAGAGGCAAATGCTAGTAATGTGTGAGTGTGTATATTTGAAATGTTTAAGAAATTAGTCCTCTCAAACATAGTTGAGAACATGTTCTATACAGGGGTGGGCAAAATAAGGTTTATAGTTGTTTGTATGGAAAAGAATACAATATTTAATAAATATGTAATACAAGAATAAACTATGTGTTTTGCATACTCCCAAATGTAAATCTACTTTTGCTTGACCCTGTATATAACTGCATTCTGATTTTATCCTGCTTAATACATGGTTATATTTTCTGCCCTGCAAGTAAGGCTGGGTGTGGGGGTGAAGAGAGAAAGCAGATAGAGTTGAATACTTAGTCTTGGTTAGAGCAAACAGCAACTTTTTAGAAATCTTTAGGCAAGGTGACAAGTCTACTGCCATTGTGTGGCATCAGGTTTCTGGTTTGACAAATATAGTAAAGAAATTATGTGTCCAGATCTAGTCATAATAATCCTAAGTACAAAATAGTCTAAAAATAGTCAGCACATTTATGCAACGCACTTATGCCTGAAGAAAGAGAATTCCTCAAAGGTCAGGCTGTATTCCAAAACACTAAGCATTCAGATCAGTAAGGCCAGAATCTGTTTAACATTTTCCGGTCACCTTTTTCCTGGGAAAATCTAAATATCTAGGACAGGGGTCCTCAAACTACAGCCCGCGGGCCACATGCAAATACAAATACTGTATTTGTTCCCGTTTTGTTTTTTTACTTCAAAATAAGATATGTGCAGTGTACATAGCAATTTCATCGTTTTTTTTTTTAACTATAGTCCAGCCCTCCAACGGTCTGAGGGACAGTGAACTGGCCCCCTGTTTAAAAAGTTTGAGGACCCCTGATCTAGGACATCAGTGCAATAATAACCCTTGTGTTAGCATCTGATAATAGATTTAGCTTTTCAGGTCTTTTTAAAAAAGACATACTATAGCCCTAGTCAGTTTGGCTTAGTGGATAGAGCGTCAGGCTGCAGACCATTGGGTCCCGAGTTCGATTCCGGCAAGGGCATGTACCTTGGTTACAGGCTCCTCCCTGGCCTGGGCCCTCGTCAGGGCTCATGCAGGAGGCAACCAATCGATGTGCTTTTCCTCACATCATTGTTTCTCTCTGTCTTTCCCTCCTGCTTACACTCTCCCTAAAAATCAATGGAAAAATATCCTAGGGTGAGGATTAACAAAATAAAACAAAACAAAAAGATATACTATAGACAGCTTCAGAAACCAGATTTAATTAAAGACATCAGTCATATGATTGACTATATTATTTTTATCTACTCAAGAATATAAATTTCTCAGCCAATGATTTAACATTCAGTATAGAAAAGAATGAGAAGATGTTCATATATACTTACTGCCTGTAACTTATACTTGGGTAATATCTATTACAAATTTTTTTTCAATTGATTTCAAAGAGGTAGGTAAAGAGATAGAAACATCAATGATGGAGAAACCAAGATGGCGGCATAGGTAAACACCGGAAATTGCTGCCTCGCACAACAACTTCAAAAATACAACTAAAAGACAAAACGGACATCATCCAGAACCACAGGAAGGCTGGTTGAGTGGAAATTCTACAACTAGAAGGAAAGAGAAAAGCACACTACTGAGACTCGGAGGTGCGGTGTTGGAAGTAAAGTGCAGAGGTACGGAGGCGCACGTGGAAAGGGCTGGCAGCTGAGGACGCGGCGCACGACGTAAGGGCTGGAAACTGAGGACACGGTTGTCTTTTTCAATCAGGAGGGAGTCTCAAGCTCCTGACTGCTCTGAACTCCAGTTCCAGGAAAGTCTCTGGGGACCCAGACTCATACGGGGAGAAACTGGACTGTCTGGCATCGGTCGGAACTCGAGGGCGGCTTTCTCTCAGAGGTACTTGCAGCGACTGCTGGGACACTGAGAAGTGGGGCCTCTTAGGGTAGGACTGAGGAGCAGCCAGTTGATCCCCTGCCCCACCCAAGCTGTGCGCAGAGGCTTTTGCATATGAAAGGCCTGGCCCTTTGCAATCTGAAAATTACAAAATTACCT